GCCTTGTATTGCCGCTAATGCAGTGTAGATTCCACTTTCTTACTGTGGTGCCCTGTTTGAACACCCCAAGCTCAGAGCTCCATTATCTTCTTGGCTTCTGTACCTAGTGCCTTGCCTATGGCTCTTGCTTGACAATTGCCTGGTTAATGGATACACCACTGGTTGCCACCTGCACTGACCATTGCCTACATAATGGACATGCAACTGATTGCTGCCTGCCATGACCCTTGCCTGGATAATGGATTAAACTACTGATTGCTTCCTTCCCAGAGCTGTGTATGTATAATAGAGTCTGCCGCTACCTGCGCCAGCCACTAGCCCTAGTCTATCTGGCACACTGTGCCTACCATGAACCATTCCACATCCTGAAGCCATCTGACACAGTATGTAGCATCCCAGTAAATATAGTACCACACTTTAAGACCTGGAGGCATTCAAGTGCCAGTAGGCATACCAGCCTTAAGGGAAAGGCAGCTGCTAAAGGGAAACCACACAAATGCCTCTCCATATTTATTTCTGAGTTTGAGTCTGAGTTTTGAGATCGCTTTTTTTCAGGACATTCCGTCTTATAGTTGGCAGTAACCACAAACTGACTATATTACTTCATTAACAGATAGGTTAAGGCATTTGCAAACCTGACAAATGTTACTGATACAGCACTGAGGAGTAGAGACACTGTCATAACATAAAATATCAGCTAATGATCATTTACTGCAGAGTTTTATCTGCCTCTGTGTTCACTGTGCTTTGCAAGGATTTTTTGTTACAGTGCATAGGTAGATCTCCTATCAGTGCACACAAGAGTTCTGAGTCTGTACAAAAAAACGAGCCAATAGAACAGGCCCTATTGTCTCTTTTTTCACTGGCTCTGTCTTCTCCTGATTTTATGGACAATGTTCTTTTCATGGATCTACATGTGAAGTTTCAGTTTTTGTGACTGCTTCTCTGGTCCAACAGTGATGAAAATATCTTAGAACCTATACAAAAGCAGATTAGGTGGTGCTGTTGATGAATTTGTTAGACCATTCCTACTCCACCCAAAATGAACCTTACACAAATTGATGGTAAGTACATAGTTTGTGAGCACACAGAGCATCACCTGCTGCATTCTGTCCAGACTGTTTGTTCCTCTCTAATAATGTCATAGTAATCAGCCAAGCTATCAAACATTTTGCTTTTTTTAAATTTTTCTTTTTCAGTATTTCAAAGTCCAAACAATCCAGTAACATACAATTCTGAAGCAGCTGAATTAGATTAATTCTTGTACTGGTGCAATGGAGCCATTTTAAATATCAGTATTTCACATGCGTGACTTTATAATATGGGTTAGAAACCTGAGTACTGTGATATGGACATTTACAATAAGTAAGAACCTCTTGTGTTGCAGCTATCTGATACTAAGCTGAAAAATGTGAGGGACCTGATGTCCCATCAGTAAGAGACTACTGAGGTCTAGTTATCTTATCTTTTTTTAAATAAGCTGGGGCAGACAGGATGCCAACATACATGTATCTTAACTCATTCTTTCAGCTGTGTTTTAATTTAACATACGTGACACTGAGGGGGTTATTCACAAAAGGGTGAAGGGTTTGGAGAAGCCAGGAGAAGTGAACAATCTAGGCCAAAATAGCTGATTTAGAAAAATTCTCCAATTCAGCTCACTTTCCAGGTCAGCTATGTTGTCCTAGATTGTTCACCTCTCCTGCCTTCTCCAAACTCTTCACCCTTTTGTGAATAACCCTGTGAATGTCTGGTGTCTTAGGAATACAGGATACAACAGCGTCTCGCCAAAATCCATTGATCCATTAAAAGATGCAAATTTATTTTTGAAACTGATTTACCCTAATATAGCAATATGAGAGAGTCCCAGGATGCAGATGCTCCTGCACTGCAGTGGATACACATCATACTATACTTACTCATACAGCATCTGTAAACTGTTTTATGCCAGATCATAGTGTTTGGAAATTAAACCCCTTAAAAGAGCTGCAGTTCCTCTAACCTCCCATAGTGCCATCCAACCTTCCACAGCCACCACAGTCCCCTGCAGCCTTTCACAGAGCCCCCCAGACCCATGCAGTCCCCCTCAACCCCCCACAGTGCCCTCCAGCCTGATGCAGAGCCTCAGAGAATCCATGGCAAAAAAGAGGAACTTTTTCAATAAAAAAAATATATATAATTTGTATATGCCGATATGTGCCTGATTCATTCAATGTATGAATTTTAATAATGCATCCACTTTAAATTATAATTACAGAAATAATTTTTTTTTGCATTTACTTGTTAATTTTTATGTATTTTTTTATACTTATTCTATGCCTATTATCAGCTTCAATAGTAAATATGTTCACTTTATAAATGTCTGTTTGATACATTATTAAATTGTGTTTGTCTACTTATTTACAGTCAACACCCTACGTGCCTTTCCTTGCTACTAAAATTATCATAAGAACTAGCTTCCTAATGGCTAATGGTTGCCTGGCAGCCTTTGAAGAATGATATATGGCTCTAGTATCCAGTAAAGTTAAAACATTTAGTAAAGGGCACATCTGATTTGACTTTTCAACTTTTCCTGCAGATGGCAGATACGGCTGAATTGCTGTACAACAGTTTACAGATCCGTGACTTGGAATCTGGACTCACTAAACTCTTATCTGACCCTAAGGAAGAACTAGACTTCCAGGAGGATGCCTTGTAAAGTTTTCCACCCCCAAGCTGGCATCACACAGGGGACTGTATATGATTATATCAGTTCAAAGCCTCTCAGAATACTTTAGGTTTTATGCTCAGTTACTATAGATTTGCTAATGATGATGATAGTAAACAAGATTAGTGTTTTATTACAGTTCACCGTTTTACACCTAGTGCGCCTTTCCTAATTTTGTGACTAGAGATGCGACAGCACTATGTTATGTGCAAATCCATGCTATGTATAAGTATCCAATGCAAAAAAGCAATCTACTCAAGGTAGCAACCTTATAGAATCTGTATTATGTATAGTGTTATCTAGAAATGCTCTAGGAAGTAATACCTTTTCATATTAAGTGGATAGTTATTTCTTTGGGAGGTTTCCCTGTGGACTTCCATTTATCTACCTACCACAGTAGTTAGGCTATGTGCATAATTGTCAATATAAATGTATGGAACATTCCGCAATGCAGAATTCAACATAGGAATTAATTACGAATCCAGCAGCAAGCCCCTACTGAAATATATCTGCATTGCTAACATGGGTCATGGCCTTGGGTGATGAGCAGGAGCAGCACACATTAGAACATCATGCTACTGATGATAGCAACACTCTTCCATGTATAATACAGAGCAACACTCTTCCATGTATAATACATAGTGCGGGACTTCTTTCCTGCCTGTCATTGCCAGGCCATCATTGTAGCCATCACTAGTTGTACTGACTGATAGTGGGCCAACAAATGTCCATCCTTTCTACCTGCAACCTAAAGCTGACCATACGCAGCTTTGTTTTAAAGGTTTGAAATATGTTTTTCTTAATCCCGGTGCCTTAAAATTGATTGAGATACGGCAAATTGTTGCAAGACCATGAAGTGTCAAAAGGGCTAGCCAACATGTTTTGAGGCCTCTTCATCAGGGCTTCACATTGCTAGTGTGAATTTAGATGGTTTCAGGAGTGAAAGGGTTAAAATCATAAAGCTAAGAGCAGGATAACGCGTAGGTAGAATGTTCCCAGAATATCTCCAAAAACTGAAAACTAGAATAGCAAAACTGTTATTGCTGAAAACAGAGGGTTCCTTGCTGGATGTAAAGTTTGAGGAATAAATCAATTAAAGAATAAATAAAAATAATGAGTTTGCATATCTCAGCTTGAGCTATTAATCTCTGTAAATATTTTTTTAATAATCTGGAAAATATTTGAAAACGAACCTAAAGTGCATAATTCCATAATTTATATTTACCTTGCCAAAAAAAAGGATAGAAACATTTTTTTTTAGTCCTGACCGTAAACAATAAAGCAAATGCATACAAAATCAGCATACAATCCCCCTAAATGTTACCATTTCTATCATCTTGGGTGTCACAGCACTGTCTTAATTGTCCACACAATTGAAATCCTGTCTCTCCAAGGTTTTTCTTGATTCTCAAATACATCTCTTTCAGTCACTTCCCCAGTACATTGCCCTCTAAGACTTAGCATTTCGGGACTTTGTCCTCCCAGACTTAGCATCCAGTAACAACACAATCTTCACTAAACTGGCCATGAAGCCTGTGGTAGCAGATGCTAGTAGTACCTGACCTTAGAATTAGCCAATTGTCCTACAATCCTTGAATATTGTTCTGGGGGTCTGTATTATCAGTGACGTATATCCCATGCTTTGGGAAACATAGCTAGGATTTAAGGAATGGAGAACACTGAAAAACATTTATCATTGAACACAATTTCACATGCAACCCAAGATGACCTTCTGATTAGTGATGAGCCGAACACCCCCGTGTTCGGTTCTAACTCGAACTTTCGAACATGGAAAAAGTTCTAATTTAGTCAATGAGTCTTTTTCAATTAGCTTTAAGAAAGAACTGTAAAAATACGTTATTAAGCTAATAAATTATCACATTTTCTCTCCGATAGGTCTTGGCATACAAGGATACCTTTCACATCCTGTCCAATATGTACAAAACCTGAGTAATATATTGAAAATGTCTTACTAGAGTCTGTGTGTTGTACATATGCTGTCATGAATGTGAAGGTTCTCACCCATCTTGGCACCATTTAAACTCCACATTAGTTAAATGTTTAAATGTAAAATATAGTGTTTATTTCTGGCACAGATGTCAAGACCATGATCATTCAAAGAGCATTCAGAGTCCAAAGTCATACATTCACTTATAATTTTTTAGCCAAAAAAAAGTGCCATTTTCACAGAGCCAACTAAACCTTTTTGATGTTGATACTAAGAAAAAACAAAAACAAATCTTATACATTTATTTATTTCACATTTTGCTGTTTACAACATTTATACTCCACATTGAAATAAAAACATATGTTTGAAAAAAAAATCTGTAAATATTTAAAGTCCCTACAAAAATATCTTAAAGATCTCTCTAACAGAACAAACATGGAGCATGTCTGTGACACAAGTGGTGCATTTGTAGAGACATTATATATTTATCATGAAATAATTGCTCCAGATCTGTTTATTTAAGCCGGAGTGGATTAGGGGTTTAGCTAAATGTCACTGAAAAGGTCATCTGGATCTGGAGTGGTTTTTGATGTTGGTAAGGGCAGATTTTCTGATGAAGGATTCTTGCCAGTTGTCTTTGAAGAGGCTGCTTTACATCTGTAAGAACAATGAATGTGAAAAGTTGTTAGCTGGTATCTTCTTGCATCAGTTAATACATTATAAACTACAGTATACACAGTATATTAAGTAAATAA